TTTTCAGACTTATCAATGTCTTGATTTCCAATTCAGGTCTAAGCATCAGGGGTTTCCTGTGAGGCTTAAAGCATTAGCATTAACAGCAACAGCTATAAATACAACTTCAGTCCTAGAACTTTAGAAGGAAGGAAAGCTCTACCTTCCTTTATATCAAATCAGACTTCTGTGCAGCCTTTGAATCTGCTGAACATTACGCATTACTTCTATATCTCTCAATGATTTTGTACATTTTTTTAGATATTCGATAGCAACCCTTTTTGCTGAGTGTAATTTTCCCTTTCCACATTAACAGTGATGGAAAACCTTTGTGAATCATAACATGCAATTAGATTTCACCAAAAAGTCTTGACTTGCTGTCAATATACCACTATCTGTTTTTTAGCTATTGTATAATACTTATATTCAATTATGTTTCTTGTTAGAATTTACTTCCTCTGTACTATCCAGCAGAATTTAAATTTATTAAATACCATGAGAAAAATTGTTGTGTTTTAGTCTGACATAATCTTTGCTGTCACCATCTGTTACAAGTTTCAATAGGCTTTATTGATTTTACTCCTTAAGTTCACTCGATCCTAAACAGGGACTGCACAAACCCAGCTGCATTTCTAACACAAAATGCAAAACCCCTAACATTAAGCTCAGTTTCAGCTTCTTCACACATCCATTTTCATCACTAAGCAGTTGCTCATCTTAGCTACCATTCATATGGTATCATGTCAGCCCAATATACATCACAAACTGGCCACCTTATTTTATAAACACTAGTACTTGTCAAAAAGAGTAAATTTTAGGAAGACTTCCTTCCATGATTCATCTAAACACAACATTATACCCGTCATAAACACAGCCAATACTCATTAAGAAGATCCCGCTGCACATTTCTGCATCATAGGGTTAACAAGATTTCACATTTTTCTTTGTGAATAGAATTACCCTATCTTTGAGTATACTTTTTATATATACCAGTAGCTAAATACATACATTCTAACTTTTGATTCTTTTAGGCTTTTTAACCTATTTTTTATAACTGATCTGTAAATAAAAATATGTAATTTCATCTTTTGATGATCATTTAAGCCACTATTACATGTATAATTACTATTAAAGTTGTTATTATTACTAACATTTGCATCATTACCATATCTGCAGTTTCACTTGACAATTTTAATCAGAAAAGGGCCACATACAACAATTAATTTAATGAAATCACAGTCCTTCCCCTTCAACTCAAGATTTAAATTTTCTTTCTCTCAGTGGGAGACAAACTACACTCACATCAAAGGACAAACACTTAGGGTCCTTTGCCATTTTTTTTTTCATTCCTTTGCCATCACTGCAAACAATATAGTAGCACCTATATTACCATTTTCCTAAACCTTTCCTTCCATCCAGCCCTCCATGGCATTGTTGTGTTATTTGTTGTTGTTGTTGTTTTTGTACTAAAAAATTACAAATTTTGCTTTCCACTCTTTCTTGACAAGGGATTGTTGGCAATATGATCATTATACATTTAAGCTTTAAAACCTTGGCAAAAGTGTCAATTTACCTCATGCATATTGTTCAATACCCAGCAAGAAGACAACCTTCGTCAAGCAAAGGAGACTGCAGTCAATAAAGAATGGCCATATGTTTGGTGCTCTGATAGTGGGAGTAGAAATGAAATTATATATTTGGATCTCTAGCTATGAATACTATATATTTTGTGTATTCACAATGTCAAAAGACACAAAAAGTAGAGGGAAACTACTCTC